ATGTAGCTACGATCATCATTAGGTAACGTGAAAATCAAAATTCCGGTGATCAATGTCAGGGGAGTGTACGTACGTACCAGTATAAAATTAATTTTTTATCAGTTATACGTATCAGTACGTACGTATGTATTACAACAAAAAGATGCAATGTATTACATATCGATAAATTATAAAATTCTTTTCGTTTTGATATTGAACACTATAACCATAAGTACATTATACGTATATAATTACTAAAACACATCGAATTTTTTTTTATCCTTTTAAGTCAAATAACACTTATGCACAGAAGCTTTTAGCAACAAAATTTTCAATTTTTTTTTACCTAGAACCACCAACCCTTCGTATTCCTCACTGAGATTTTTTTAGTACATACAAGTACGTACAATTAATGTATTACAATGTTTGATTGGTCAAAATAATGGAAATGGCAATAAATTTAAAAAAAAAGTTCATAAAAGTTAAATAACGATAATGGTCAAACAAAACGTTTATATTATCGCATTATTGTTGTAATTATTTAAATATTCTTTCTTTAAAATTAATATAAAGGATTTTCTTACCCTCAGTTATCAAGAGTGATGTTCAAACACCGGCTTGTTACGTTTGGTGCGATCTTCATTCTTTTGATTTTAATCATTTTACCTAGTGCACAAGCTTGGGATAATGGTATGATCTTTTTTAATCTTTTTTACACATATTTGCAAAGTTTTTTAATGAAAAAATAATTCTTGAATTTGGAAATAAATCTAAATTTTAATAGAGGATCATGAGATTTTTGATCTAGTGGATCAGCTTACGGGGTTTGAAGGAGAGGATGCAACATTTTATTCATTACTCGGAGTAGAACCTACAGCTTCTGTAAAGGAGATAGGCAAGGCACATAGAAAATTATCACTCGCTTTACAGTACGATAATTAAGTTTCATCGATTTTTGTCGTAATCAAACTATGTTAATAAATTTCTGACTTCTTTTTTTAACTAGTCCAGATAAAAATCCCGATGAACGCAGCAGAAAATTATACGCCTTATTAGGATCCATTACAACAATACTTCGTAATCCAGAGTCTCGAGAGCGTTATGATTTCTTCTTAAGAAATGGTGTTCCCAAATGGCGTGGAACAGGATGGTATTATAATCGATATCGACCTGGTCTCCCTGGAGTTATTGCTGGTCTCGTCGTTTTGAGCTCATTCCTGCACTACATTGTAATGTGGGTGAACTTCTATCAAGAAAAAAAACGAATTAGATATTTCATACAAGAGGCCAGGGAAATTGCTTGGGGCAAACGAATGAAAAAGCAAAATACTAGGAAGAGAGTTTGTGTAAACGAAAAACAATTTATTGTTGATAGTGATAATGTTTTGTTTCTCACAGATGAAGGAGAAGAATTTCTTTTAAGTGAAGAAGAAGTATCCAAACCTAGTTTTGGTAAATTATTTCCAGTTTTGATTTATAAATCTATTTTAGGTAAATTAATAGCCGAGAAAAAACAAAATATCAAGATGGGGGAATCTGGTGATTATCAGGAGCCATTTTCCAGCGATGATGAACGTAGTGAGGCTGGTGACAACCCGAGTCAAACTCGTAGACGCAAACCAGGCAGGAAAGCCAAATCTAAGTATTAAAATATTTACATACTTATGGACGGGTAGTTGTCGAAAAATAGATTATTATATATTAGATATTTGAGTTAATAATACTCATAATTATTTTAGAATAAAAGGTTATTAATTTGTAATTTATTTTAAAATCAGAATATTTTTAGAATTTTATTACGTTATTATATGTTATTATATTCGATATGTCGATCTAATCTATTATAATATAAATTGTCATGTTTTTGGCTGATGTTGTATACAAATTAAATAAAAACTATTATAGAGTAAAAAAATAAATGAGTTCAATTTTAAGATACTTTTGTCGTTATAAATCAAGTTTTCCAAACATTACCTTGTTGCCACCAAGAAAATTTCCTCTAATTTACCGATGCTTATCGAATCATCGTCAAACTATAAAAAGTCCACCTGAATCCTCAAGGTTCTTTGATCTTTCCAATACCGTGAAATATAAATCATTTTCACTTGAAGATTTTATTCTTTTACCTAATCATTTCACTTCTTTTGAACAAGAATTTCTTCTTGATCAGTCTTTAAAAAAATTGAAAAGAGTCTTTGGTAAACAGATAGTTTATCAAGAGAGTCATTTTGATGATGTTATTCATGGTTATAGAGAATGTCAAGCTACTCATTGGGGTGATCAAAACGATAAAGTAATAGAAACTTTTAATAAAAAAGTTTATGATCTTTTTCCGAAAACTATCGAATGGTTACCGGTTCATATTTTGGAGTTATCTGAAACCGGTGGCATTAAACCTCACGTTGATAATGTTGAGGTATTTACATTACTATCACTATACATGGGTGTCTAAATTATTCCTCTTAATAATCTTTACATTTAGTCTGTCGAAATTAATTTTATTAGTGGCGAAATTAATTTTCATAGTTGTCGAAATTTTTAATGAAATTATTTGAATTCTTTATGCCAAAATACATTAGATCGTATAGCTACTTTGTGGAATTCATATAAAAAACTAGCAATATCGAAATGTTTGTCGAAATTACCTTTTTTAAAAAATAATTTAGACACCCATGTATAACTATCACCCTTGTAACTTTCGAACTCTCATGTTTTTAACTTGTTAATGTTTATTACTATTTCAAAATTAGTATTCTGGAAGCATCGTTGCCGGAATTTGTCTTATGTCTCCAACAGTCATGATATTTCGCCATAAAGATGATAAAAGTTGTAATTTTTCTGTATTATTGGAACCAGGATGTCTTTATATTCAACGGTAACATATTTTTATAGAATTTGAATTTAATAATGAATTGTTTGTATAATACATTCCTATGTTGAACACAAAAAGGGATAAAATTCGTTTCAACTTTACTCACGAGATTCCCCAAGATCCCGCTCAACATGTATTTAAAGGCCAGATTATTCCAAAGGGAAGAAGAATTTCGTTAATGTTCAGGGTAAGCTTCATTTAAAAGTCACGTTATTTTTATTTATTTATCCAATCCCTCAAAGAGATTCATTATTTTATTATAGGATGCGAAAAAAACGAGTTAATTGGTTACCAAATTTGTACTTTATTATTAACGTAAAAAATAAAACCTATCGACTATGATTTCATAATTCTGTAATAGATCATAATGATCCGGATTGTTTACCTTGCAAGTAATCAAAACAAAGGAATATCTAAACGACCTACATGTGGATGAAATTAGGTCAGTGGTACGAAAAAAAATTGATAGTGTATAATAAGCCACAAGAATACAGTCTATTTCTACTGTGGTTGCCTGGACAATACTTTCGAACCATTATATATTTCTTACTGTCAAAATTTTGTTTAACCTATCCATTCTTAAATTCCATTTCCACGTAGTCAAAATTATAGATGCTGGTGAAACTGGTGACTATCTAAAAATCTGATTGGCTGTTATATTAAATTTCACCAGTTTCACCACCATTCACCAAGAGTTTCAACAATTTCACCAGCATCTATAGTCAAAATCATAAGCATCCCACCCCTCTAACTTTTTAGATTGAAAAGATACAGCTTTGAAACTTTCACAATAAATAGTACTTAATAAATATAAATCAGTATGATTTTTTAATTACTACAACAAAAGTTAGATGAGAACCAACTTTTTGATTGACTTTTGTTTAAAAAAATGAAAAAATTTAATCAAAAATTAATAAAATATTAGAATCTGATATGTTAAAATTCAAGCATTTTTATAGTAGTGACAAAAAATTTGAGTTAATTTGATGAGACAGTTGTTGAGAAATTAATTTTTTAATTTTAAATTTAAGTGTTAAAGGGTATTATAAAAAAGTTGTGCGACTAGGTTTTTATTAATTTTAATATAGAAAAAAATTATTTTCTATATTATAATTAATAAAAACCTAGTTGCGCAACTTTTTTTTTCTAATACTCTCTAACACTTAAATTTAAAATTTTCTCAACAACTATCTCATCAAATTAACAAATTTTTTGTCACTACTATAAAAATGCTTAAATTTTTTTTTAGTATTAAGGTGAGGCCTTGCTCATATCTTTATTAGTAATTTTAAAAATAGTAACTACATTATAG